TCACGAACTGGCAGTCCTATAAGGGTTGATGTCTTGGCATGCTTCTCTTGCGTATTCCATACACCATAAGCGTTTTCATCTCTGGTCTCTTCTACAGTTTCTACTCCTTCCAATCTTACCTTCTCCATTTCGATTCGTTCAATGTCGCCTTTTTGGACAGCATTTTGAAGCGTCATTATTTCTGATACATCTTCTCTTCGTGATGCCTGTGCAGCCAACATTGTACCCTCAACAGGTACTTCGGTCGATGTAACCTGGACCTTTTCTTGTTCACTCGTTCGGCTGAGTTTCGTCTCACGCTCGGTTGTCTCCACTCTGGTTGCGGAGACGGTAGTCGCTTCAGCTTGACCTCGGCTCCTCTTGATTAATAACTCGGCCTCTGCTTCTTCTTCGAGTTTCGGTTGGACATATCCATGAGTGCTCAGGACGTTGGCAGATTCGGAACCGAACTCGGCCACTTGGGTTACCGTCGATGATTTCGATGCCTCTGGAATGATTGAAACTGAATCACTGGCAATGGTTGCTGATTTCTCAAAAGGGATGGTCTGCGTCTCATTTGCTATTTTGAATTGCTTGCTGTCGATTTGCTTTTGCGATGTTACTACATGCTCTTGGGTTTTTGCCAGATCTTGCTCGATTTGCATTGCTGTTGACTGACTTGCTTGAATTGCGCTTTGCATTCGCTCAACTTCATTATACCATTCTCCCAAAATACTCCCCGCAAACGCCTGTGTCTGCATCGGTTGCCATGTCCCCAGAACAACTTGATCAGATGGTTCTTTTACAGTCAACTTTTCCTCAACCCTACACCCTGCATTAGTACCTGTTTCAGTGAGAGTGACGACTTCTTCAATAATTTTCTCTGTCGATATAAGGGTCATCAGAAGGGTACCGAGGGATGCTGTGGGCTCGACTGTGTGCCACATGCCATACGCCTTCTCTTCAGTAATTTCTTTGAAATTTTCAATAAGTACCGCTCGTACCTTATCGATAACATCATCTAAAACTTCCTCTGAAGAGGATAGCTGATTCATTTCAAGTACAGAAATGATTTGTGATGTCATACGGTGGCTTAGCTCCACATCGGTAGACTCAACAATCTTCAAAACCTCTTCGATTTCAGAATGATGCTTATATCTTGCGAGATATTCTATCAGAAGTTTTCTTTCCTCTGCTGAAGCTTTTAGAAGATGCAGGAGCTGCAACTGTCGTCGTTTTTCTGAGACTAAGCAACTCTCAGCTACTTCTTTAGATAAAGCAAGAGCGTCTGCAGCCTGCTCAGATGTTGATTCAGAAATTCTTCTGAATGCTGATTCCAGTGAGTTAAGGGTTACCAACATAGTGGTAATCGAGCTAGATGAGCTTGAGTAGAGCAACTGAAGCGTTGCTTCATCAGTTAGCTCCTTAATCGCCTCGTTCAAAACCGCTCGCATGCGTTCTACGATTGACAAGGCCACATTCTCAACCTCTGTCGATTTTGACAGTATCTCTTCAATACTGTTGATCATACGACGCGTAACTTCCTTGTTACACTGTACAGATTCCTGATCGAGGAACTGAACTACTTCATTAATTTCCTGATCGATGGAAAATGGATTAAGCAAGTTCCTCAATCGAGACTTCTCCTCCGCAGTCGCACTTCCAGAACGTAAAGTTTGACTTTCTTCAAAAACGTGCTCCCTTACTCTAAGGTAGGGAGGTCGTGGTGTCGCCGAAATCGTGCTGAACCGTTCTTGTACGTGTGCGCGGTGTTCCTCTGGCTCTACGGCGCGTAAATGACTTATGAGAGCTTCCGAGGTACTCAGTGTCAGAGCAAGGTTCGCTGTAGAAGCTCTGCTCATCGACTGTTCTATACTGCAGAAGGTTTCGCGGACCTTCTGCTCAACTGCTTCTGACACCACATCACGAACGGTCTCCGCAACTGCGCTTTCCATAACTTTTATATCATTTAGATTTTGAAGCTGTTCAACGGCTCGAATTGTCGATTGAGTCAATGAACTGCTTAGCACAAGCCTCTCCGATCTCAGGTCGTCAATAATTTTGGACACTTCAGCGTCACTTTGGTACTTGGTCAATAGTTCCACTAACTCCATTGTTTCGTCTGAAGACGCTTTCAGCAGATTTTTGGAAGAATACCGTTCCGACGTCGTAGAAATGACTTCGACCTCACCATGCTCTCCTACCCTTTCCAGAATGGAAGCTATAACTTCCGTGCTGATAGAAAACTGTCGCTCTGCCTTTGACATCCCTCGTATAGGAAGTGTTAGTTCCTGTGAACTGCGAGCTCTTTGAGTGAGATCGGTATCGGTAGAAATAGCGTTCTCCTCGGAGGATCTAACGCTTATTCGTTGTGATTCCAACGCAGCTATGGCCATGGCTAACTGTGCGATGGATGCCACCTCCTTTGTTTCTAGCACAATTGATGCATTTTCCTCCGCTATCTGTTTTACACTTGCGGAGATCGCAGATCGGAGTGCCTCTGAAACCCTTTGGCTAACATCAGATGCCTCTTGAGCACGGTTAATCTCCTTCTCCACAGCGGTAGTAACTGTTTCAATGGCATGCCCGCTGAAACTGACCCTTCCTGAAACGAGATCCCGTACAATACCGGCCACATCTTCGTCATCATCGTACTTTTTCAGCAGCCTAATCAAGTTCCATATCGATGCCTGGGATCGGGAAAGACATCTGTCTGTTCCAGAAACGACGGATATCTCAGCCTGTTCAAGTGCTCGTGGGCAACTTGCTATGAGTTCTGAGGCTGTTAGTGCCACTGCTAAGTTCGCAGTCGAACAAGATTTCAAAGACTCTACTATAGTAGCAGCAGTTTCTTCAGCTGCATGTTTGACAGCTCCCAAAATGATCTTCTGGAGCGTTTCAACAACTGTCCATTCGATACACCCAATGTCAGGTGTCTTCTGAAGATCTTTAATCGATTGCAGCATGGAGTGGACCATTGGTCTGCTGAACTCAATCTTTTCTGACATCAAATCTCGGATGATTTTTGATACTTCATCATTCTCTTGGAACTTCTCTAGTAGTTTCACCAGTTCCACCCGTTCCTCCTTAGAGGACTCGAAACTATGACCAGTACTGAAAGATCTCGGTGTTCCAGAAACGATGCCAACTTCTTTCTGTTCAGGCCTAGGTTGTGGCAGTACTCCATATGAAGCACTAATGTTCGCGCACTCCATTCCTTGTTCCTGGAGTGAGCCCTGTGCACGTTCGACAGCATTGTGTGGGAGAGTTCTGGCACCTTCCCCTGTGACCTGCTCTCGAATCACATGAAGTATTTCTGCACTCACAGCGAACTTCCGAGTTTCCGCGGACTTCGATTGAAAGGGAATGACTGCTGAGTCGTGCCCTGATGGCTCTGTCAGTAATGCGGTGTCACAGGAGATTGTCTCTTGTTGCGGTGCTCGAACTTGTGCTTTAGCGGAATCAAGCAGGGAGAGTGCGGAAACCAACGCCGAAGTAGACGTGACTTCTTTCGTCCGGAGAATGCAAAAGGCATTCTCATCGACAATCTCTGTTAGAGCTTCAGTTATGCAATAGCGAAGAACGTCAGCCACCCTTGCGCTGATGTCGGCTGTTTCTGGGGATTTGCTTAATTCCCGTTCTACTGAAGTAGTTATTTCCTTGATGAGTTTCCTACTGAGAACGACCTTCTCGACAGCGATATGGTGAATGACCGCTGCTACATTTTCGTCATCCTGATATTTACTCAGCAAATTGACCAGGGCAGCTTGCTCTTCTCTGGTTGCTTGGGTGCTGTGCAGAAACTGGAGGTGTTCTGACCGTTGAGCAACTTTTTCAACTTCTCCCTGTTGTTGAATTGGTTGGTTAATTACGCTTAGTGCACCTTGCACTTCAACCGACTCATGTCCATACTCACGAGCTACACCACTTATCTCTTCCTCTCTTACTTTGGGAAGCGTTCTGGTTGACTCTTCTTCGTGTGGAGCCAAGCCAAATCCCTGAGTCACGGACTTCTCTTCAATAGTAAATTTTCGACCACTTGCTGCGGTTGGTTGAACAGGGACAGAGATGTTGCTCGTAGCTTCCGTCAACGCACGAATTATGTGTGGTGACACTTGTTCGCTATGCTCTGATGAAGCTTGCATTTTAGTGAGCATTTTTTCCACGGATGACAAAATCAACAGCATAGAGGTTTCAGAAGTGCTTTCCAAACTTCTGATGATCGCGAATGTGTTTTCATCCACAACTTCTCTGACAGTCAGAGAAAGAGCAGTTTTTACAGCACTAGCCACATTATGAGCAAGCTCCTTGACATCGCTTGTTCTGTGCAACTCCTGCTCGATCACTTTGCAAAGTGTACGACTTGCAAAAGCGCTGAACTTCAGCTGCTCCGTTTTCAAGACATTCAGAATCTTCTCTATGTAAACATCTTCTCGGAATCGTTCCAATGATGCGAGAAGCTCGCTATGTTCCTCATTAGTTGATTTGGCTGAATATATCATCTGGATCAACGGACATCTCCGTTGTATCGATTCCACGGAGTCCCTGCTCTCTCTAGGCTGTTGAATAGTCCCTACCACTCCACTGGTGAACGCTTCCACCTGACCTTGCTCTCTTACCGTGCTCTCAGCGGATCCCATTCTTGGAATGGATACCACAGCTGATCCACTCCGGCATTCTTCGCTCCGGAGAAGTTCTGATTGTGCCCTTTCTAGTTCAGTATAGAAAATACGCTCAACTGCTTCTTTTAATGTCGTCCCCTTGCGACATTCTGCTGTCGCATGTGGGCTTCTCCCTAAAGTCGCTTCCACAACAGATGACGTACACCCTGGACTAGAGAGATCCTGTTTCTTAGCTATTGTGCTATGCTCCGGCCATTGTGAACGGGCTTCGGCAGCACTGCTTACAGTTCTCCATATGCCATGTACATATTCCTCTGTTGCAGACTGTACGAATGTGCTAGCTTCTTCTAGGAGCTTGGCAGCAAGTGTCACTCCTGTCACACTACGAACTGATGATTTTTCTAAAGCCGCCGTCAAAGCTGCGTTCAGGGTGCGAGTCGCACCTACGCTCAGCTTATCCTTTTCTTTCAATACAATTGCTTTGATTAAGCTAATATCGACCAAATGCTCATGTTTGGTGAGGAATTCCAGAAGTTCCGTAACATCTTCAGAGCTAGCCTTTGCGCTCAGAATGCGTGAAATGGTTGCTTTCATAGGAAGGGTTGTTTCAACTTCTTCGAAAGGTGCCGATGGAGCCGATAATGTTCCCACAATGTTTTTCGAGTCGACTGCTGTACTACCAAATTCACGAAGTTTGGCTCGAGAAGAATCTTGGGAAGGGCTAGACAGTAGTGCAGAGGTTTCCAGAGACTTTGGACCAGTCGATAGGTTAAACTCATCGTTTTTATGCGACGAGATGTGGAATGCTCTCTGGCTTTTATCTGTGGGGATTTCTTTCAGATGAGCAGTCACCTCATCACGTACCTCGGCGCTTAGTTGTCTAGCACATTCAGTGGATAATTCACCAGCTGCACACACACTTTTGAACAGTGGGAGCGTCGTTTTCAGTCCTATTCGTAGAAGTGCTGTACCTGCTTCCACCTCATAAGTTCTCCACAATGAATTCACGACTTCTTCTGCACTCTCAGAGGACATCAGTGATATCCAATCCTTCACCACATCGGCGAGAATCGTTTGAGTTGTGGCTTCTTCTTGGGTTTTCAAGTAGTCACCCGTGTTCAAAGTGATTTCTGATTCCCTGCTACCCAAGCCACTCAAGGATACATTCTGGAAATCACCGATTTTTCGGACCATTTCAACCGTCTCTGAGCTACCATCACATTCCATTTTCCCAAGGGTATCTATGGTTACTTCTGAGGCTGCCCTCATGTTGGCACCGTTTCTTAGTACGGGTATATCACTGAACAACGTGGCCGTCTGTTCGGATTCAGGTGCGCGAGGAGTAAGGAAACCTATAGAACCATGCAAAAGAGCACTTTCGTTGCGTAGCTTGATTTTCTCCGATGCAGCAGAACACTCTGGAAGAGCAAATTCACTTCCAACAGACTTCATTTCATTTTCCATAATGAATTGATTCGTCAACGTAGCAACTCCGAATGCCTTCCCCACAGAAGCCCCTTGCATCAGTTTCCACTCCACTGCCTGCTCTTCCTTTACTTCATGAGCTATCTCAATAGACATTTGGGTTTCCGTGTCTGAAGAGCTTTGCAAATTCTTGGTTACCAATAAGAATTCATGTGGCTTCGTTTTTAGGGTGCAGGAAGTGCTTTCTGTTGTTAAATCCGTGTCCCAAAAACCAAATGTTTCCATTTCTAAAGGAACCGATGATTTCAGCTGTACAGACTCCAAAGGTCTGCCTTCAATGAGCGTTTCACTCGATGCAATGCAGGGCTTACAAAGCGTCAAATCACCTGACAAACCGCAAAATTCCTCTTTGGAAGCACTTGATGCCAAACGGGCAGAGTCTTTGAGAGGAGTGGTGCTGATCGCAGCGATATCTACTTCTGAATGAGCTCTATGCATCACTACTTCCTTTTCTGTGACGCTTTCCCTGCTTGCATTTACTGCTACTCCATGTTTAGTAGTCACGCTCTCTACGTAACCAAATTCAACCTCTTCTGCCATTTCCGGTTTGGGTACAAGCTTTCCAAAAGTGCTTTGAACACTGCTTAGCTCTTGCTTGGATTCGTCCAACCGAAGAGTTGCAGCCTCCTTTTCCTTGTCTTGGTTTTCTTTTCCTTTTCCCGGAAGTCCCTGTGTAGATCCCTTTTGCACTGTTGTTTTGGTCTCATGGGATTGTTCAGTATAATCTCCCACCCCTCGAATTGTAATGCTTTCGTTCAACTTAACTCGCTCTTCTTGTGAACGTTCTGTCAAGTAACCACGCCCTACTAATCCCTCTGACGTACTTTCCTGACCTGATCTAGTCTCCCCTTCGAGTTTGTTCCCTTGCAATGAGAAGAAATCTTGCTGCTCTTTTGAAAAAGCTCTTGCGCTTGTGTTTTGTTGATGTTGTTGATTTGTAAAGTTGGTCGTTTGTATTTGCACTTGTTGTTGTTGTTCTTTTGATATGAATGTCTCTTTGTGTATTCCCCCTTTTGCCTCTGTGCCGCTTCTCAGGTCTGCAATAATCATTTATTACACCCATTAGCTCTAGCTCAAGTAAATGCATTTCTTTCACGCAAAGCCACTAACACTTCAACTACTAGTAGCGATCTAGTAAGGCAGGTAGCGTAAAACAAGTATTCATAGCAGTTAGTGTCATTAGAAAGGATTCAAATGCTGTTCTCTAGCTAACAACATTCATCCATTAGCGACCTGAATCGGCCTATAGCAACAAATTCTTCCTGATCACTTAGCTGTATGACCATACGACCTTTGATACAGCTTCGTTCTGTAATGGCTGATGTTCGCAAAAGGCTAGGCTGCTTACTTTCTAATTCTATGGATAGCGCTTCTAATACTATCGCCACTACGACTAAGTCGATGCTTTTAAAGGCTGAACTATAAGCGGGGTCTAATCTACAAAACAAATAGTCCTCACCTGTAACATAATGACGGCTCGCTTCTCTGCGCTCGAAATCGTCCGAGTACTCAACCTGGTTGCTTTCATATTGAAGAAGCTTCTCTGAGGTATGTAGCACTTCTTTCGTGTGCTGCTCTTCGTGTATCTTCCGTATACGGTCGCCAAGATATAGACCAAGGGCTGCCATAGCGTAATTGCCAAGCACTTGCTTGTACAGGAAGTATACAGTCACCTCGGACGCGGCATCTTTCCGACGTATACGTAAATCTTGATGAAAATTCTCGTCGCATAATCTATGATACTCAGAAAGCTTTGAGAGATGGAAGGAGGCGGATCTAAGGGTGGCCTGTGGCCACGCTACAAACGCTTCACCCCGTGGGGAAAGCATTGTTTTATAATTGGTGAGGTGGAAGCTTTTTGTTGTCGTACGAGTGTCTAGATCTATAAACCCACCTGTGACCGCTTCAGCCAATGCGGTTGACGTTGCTCCATGTGCTCCTCCGGTGTTCTTCATCATAACCGTGCAGTGCTCCTGTGCTTGACCATATTCAGCTATGTGCGTTTCGGCCTGTTGTCGATGGCGGTCGCGAACTTTGATGCCTGCCGTCTGGGCATTAGCTCCTTTATTGAGCATTAGTGTAGAGGCGATTGAACGACTCTCTGATGCCCATGCTCGCATGGCTGATGAAGACGTATTGGGCGTGGCAAAAACCTCTTGAACGCCTATGGCTGAAGGGAACGACGCTTCCCTCTTAATCGCCATTTGAGACGTGACTGCGCTATCGGAAGCTGCTCGAGTCCTCAGGAACTCTTTCCTCACGTGCTTGTCCTTACTAACTCCGTCTGCGATCTGATCCTGGTCTTTGGGCATCTTTTGGAGGTAAATAACACTGGTCGCATGTTCTAGAGACATCTCTTTGAGTTTAGCTGCGACACCAATTGTGTTTGGCGTCTTTGATGAGCTCTGGACTCCAAGCATCTCCCCAGAATGATTTAAGCCAGTCGCGAGTGTGACATGTTCGAACTCAGCTGCTGAGGTGAGGAAGCTTGCAGCGTGCAGGTTCTTTTCCCGTCTCACAGTCGTTGCCTCTCCAGTTCGTGGTTTGGTGTTATCAAAACCGCAAAGCATCATCGCTTGCTCCTCTCGAACCTCACGGAAGCGACCCTGAGTTCCTGAGCGAGACACAGCCGCTAAATTACACATTGTCGCCATGTTCCTTTCTTCTGGTCTAACCATATTTTGAAGCGCCACCGTCACATCTGCATACTGCTCGGCAAGTTCCCGACATTGGAACGATTCACTCCATGACGATTTATCCTTCCTGACGACTGAGGACTCTTCAAAATCTTCGCAGGGAACCATGAAGGCGGAGGTCATCTCGCACGACGCTTTCATCATCACCGCTCGTTTAATTTGCATGAATTGCGGTTCGTAGGTGTTATCGGTTTCGAATACGACATCGAAGTAGGAGTCAGATTCCTTTTTGACCAGGTCCACTATAGTGGGCGAACCTCCATCCCACTGGACAGACTCCTCGGACTCGGACTCATAGAGCTTATCTTTATGTCGGAAGGTTTTTTCTCCACGAAGAGTCATTCCTTCCATTTCCAGTGCGTACTGTCCTCCGTGCGCTTCACGTTCCTGCACGGTAATTTTCTTGGGCGCTGGGATTTCCTCTGAAGATTCGGAATCGAAAGCTCTGCCACGCCGTTTGATTACTGTTTCGCCGATCAATTTCACACCATCCTGCTCCATTTCGTAGCTACCACCTTCGACAGTGCTTTGTCCCAGTTTTCTTTCTTTTTCAACTGCTACTTCGTTCACTTTCACCTTCTGGAAAATCGGCTCCTCTTCCTCAATCCTAATCAGATTCTCTTCTTCAGCAGACTCTACTCGTCCATGGAGACGTCTAAGAGAAGTCTCATCCTCAAAGAACTGTCCCGCCTGCTCCATAGCAAAAACTTTGGACAGTTCTTGCTGACGTTTCTGGACACGCCTTGTAAGAATCATTGATATTTCCTTGACTAGAGGAATGGCAATGTGCACGGTGAAGTTGGAGCTATCCTCTCGTCGAATCAAATCGCAATCTGCGAACGCGTTTGCGCATCTGGCCTTCGGTATAACTTCCACTGAATCATCAGTCTCCAGACGACGAGTCCTTTTTAGGGCCCCTTCTCCTTCGAAGTGATGGCCATCACGCATCACTCTGATGTCGGCCTTTTCTAACTCATGCCATTCCTCTTCTTCACGAGTCAACGTATCCACATAAATCTTCTCGACCTTCTCCTGCAGAATCGGTGACGGTGTTCTGTCCGCAGTTTCTTCATAATGAAGCGCCTGTGGCATTTCTTCTTCCAAGTACTCATCGGCTCGTTCACCTATCACGTATGTCTTCAGGATATTGGTGACGTCTTCAACAACCTCCACCTCAACATGAGTTACGGCACTGACTGCATCCGCGTCTTCGCGCAGATCTCTCAAAAGGCGTTGACCAACCTCTGAGAGATAGTCCTTCTTGTTCTGAAACCAAGAAATTGAGCTTCTCTGATGATTCTGATATAAAAATTTTACACGCACATGTTACACGCACCTAACTTCTCGGATATTTCTCGAATTTTCGCGAAGGCACTCTCAACCTACAGGTATGTCAATTTTATTAGCAAGTTTTAAATGATTTTGTGGACAAGGAGGGCTGTGGATTCGATAAAAAGGAGCGTTTCCAATAAAACCCCGTTTCGAACTGGTGAAAATTTCCAAAATTACAAAGTTCAAAACATACTTCCGCATGAGCGAGACTAGCGTGGCCGCCTCGCGATTGAACTGCAATCCCAGGTCATAATGCGCGCCTTGATCTAACTTCGCACTAGACGCTATTTCGACCTCCCACCAATTTGTGATGGATGCGGGAGGTCGAAATAGCATATAGTGGCAAGTTGGTTCAAATCACGAATTGTCATGTGGGACGGGTGGCACAGTTGCGCCATGGACATTACGAGCGACTTGGTAGCTCCTGACTCATTAGTGTTATCGCCTCGACAAGCCACCTAGGCAGGGCGCAATGGAGGCTCGAGACTATTCCCAACGACACTATTTTTGCCAGTAGGGAATCCCATAAATAGCCAGCAAAATTTTCACTCAAGAATGAGAGAGGCAAGCAACGCCTATGACTGACCATGAAATCTGGTATTTCTAGTGTTGCTTCCTTTTCCATTTTTGTCTCTCCATTTTCAATCAGAGTGATCTTGAACTTCGAATGACCTTCTTTCATCTGAAAATCGACTCTCATACAGGGTTAAGGAATTGGTGAGGATTCACCCACCTCCTCAAGGATCAGACTCTTCTTTCCAATGGTTGATTTGATCTGAAAAAACATCTTATATGTATGTCCTCTGTTTGGAGTTGCCCAAAATCTTACGAGCATTTTGGGACTTTTGGATTCTCAACTAGGTCGTCATTCAATGCTGCGGGATTGTTCTAACCCTTCCAGAACGGGAATTCGCCTCAGGGAACCCCACACACCTAGTTCCAATAAGAATGTGGAAGCTGAATAAGTACAGGGGAGAACTCTGAAACAGCTTGTTCCATTTCATCTAACTTGCACCAGAGGGCCCGATTTGAATTGGTTCTCAGTGGTTTCGAATCATCTGGATTCTTAGGTAGTGGTCACTTTCACGTGGACGCTAGTCCCTTTCTTCAAATCTTTCCAAAAGCGGTGCTCATGAAGGGGGAAAGGAAAGGAGAGTGTGCCTGATTTCAACCTTTCGAGTGTTGCAAATTAGGTCTTGAGAACTCTCCCGCAATTGCCCTTATATGGCATCATGTGTCTCGAATGTCTATATGATTTAATGGAAACGAAGGAGAAAAGGGTCCTAATTAAAACGAACCTTGTAATTGGTGACTGTATCTCGAACAGTCCACGCACTCGACACGCAACTGTCGACCGTAATGAGGTCGGCACCAACAATTTTTTCCATCCGAAGTTTGCCTTCGACTGTTGTTCTGATCTTAAAAAATCAACTGTAGGTAGGGCTAGGCAAAGTTCAGCTCACCCTCGACATTTCTTAATTTAACACTATTGAGTCGTGTAAAAGTAATAGTACGGGAACATGATGACTTACCACAGGTGGACCCTGCTTTTTCTTCTCGTAGTCGACTATGGTCTCAACGCGACGTTTGCTCAGCGGAGAGCCTGTGTGGTTTTGATGAGGTGGTACCGATGGCATGATTTGTTGATGTGATGATGACGGTTGAGCCAGGACAGACCGCTGAGAGGGTACGGAAAACGGTGATGTCTTGGCAGCAGAAGGCTGCCGAAGTGGGCCGAATGGAGGCCCGGTGGAAAAATCGCCCAAGTCACCATTGAACGGCTTGGCGTAATTGCCATCTACGGTGTCACTGCGACGTCGTGGCTGTGGGCTTAGAAGATAAGCCTGAAAAGTGAGGAAATAGTGTAAAGGTTGTTTTGAGTACTCAAGCGTATTACAAGGGAGTAGCCCGATCAGAACACAGCGATATGCTCCAAAATTTTAAAAGACAAAGTGGAAGAAACGTGATTTAACTACTTTTGGGATGAAGCTGGCATGGGAAACAACCATGGAAACAAATCAGTACGTGTAAGAAGTACTGGGGGATGGAGACCGCGGCATAGGACCTTAAGACACAGTTCACGATAGAATTGGTTTCTGAGACTTCCCTATAGTATGAATTCGAGGATCCGCCATATACCATACCGCTACATGGGCGAAGAACGTTCTAGATAGGGCCCAATAAGGGGCCAAAGATTGTATTGTGTGGATGCCACACCCATGGTGGACGAATTTCAACGGCTTTGAAGAGGCTGCAGTATCGCGAAGGACTCTCTACAGTCGAAGGACTGTAGAGAGTTCAAACAACTTGTATGGTCCCATAGCGGCGGCGAAAGGCAGTTTCGGACAATTTCGACTTGATGAAGTCATCTGTTCGCGCGGTTATCACCCCTTAATTATCATTCCCGTCACGGTGATCTCGTAAAACATCCACTTCCACTACTTCTAAAAAGCCTCGAAGAAGGCTGATTTTCTCGCTCTCATCGCCACTCCTCTACATCAAACTTCCGCTTTTAAACCTAAAAAAGGTACCTCAAAATTATCGTGAACTGTGCCTTTACCAGATTCGTAGAAGTACTGTATCGCTCTCTATTGCTCTGCTTGGTCCATTTGTGCATTCATTTGGATCACATTTTGTTTTGCGTGTTCATCTTTATCATTCTGAACTCGTGGATGGTGCCCGTCAATTTGACGCTTACCAGGGCTGGAGATG